CCATAATTCAATGTATTTTTAAAGAGTTCAAAGATATTTCATTTATAAATAAAATGTGTAAGTTCCAGAGTTAGGGTCAAGAACATGGGATGAACTTTCATGGTGCGTTTTTTCCGGCACATAAGCACACTCAGCATCCCTTCCTCCTCCTCCCCTCACTAAATGTCAGCCTTGTCACTCCCACAAAACACACGTGCCCAAGTGCCCCCATGGGGGACAATAAATACGAGCCCAATAAATACTGGGAGCCACCAATCAGGGCTGGTGGTTGGAGCAAGCCTGTTGCAGCAGAATAGCCCCAACAGGAATATTTTTAATGAAATATCACGCAGAACCCCAACATATACACTGGCTAAAAGTACCACCGCTCTGGTGGAAGCTGGGACACCCATCCTGCCCAATCGCCACCCTGTGCCCCGCACTCCCCACGTTTGTCAGAAGAGCCTGGAGCCCTGGGGCGCAAAACCGAGGCTCCAAATAAGCCAGTTCCCTAATTCACCAGGCCCACAAAACCACCCCTGCTCTCTGCAGCATGTGGTGAGGGCGGCAGCCTGCCCTCTGAGTGTTGGGATCCAATAAACTGTGTGAAAACTTTTGATGAGGAGCCTGAAGCGTCATGCCCGGCCGTGGGGAAAGGCCACGCGCGCAGGTGTGAGGCGCTGAGATCTCGGTTGAGACGGTCGTTTGCTGGGAGGAAGCAGCACCCTTTGCTGGGGAAAAATACTTTAAGCAAAGATGCTGCTCTTCTAAATGTGTTAACACAGGTTCAATATTTTGTTTCTATTTCTGTGTGACATGCCAGCACGGAAAGAATTTTTATATCCATGGGTAACCTGTGGTCGGACCAAGGCCACAGAATGGATGTGGGTCCATAAGTGAAGGTTTTGTGGCTACTTTGTAGAAAAGATCTCTTTCACTGATCACTAAATAAATGGAGAGAGAGCGAGAGAGCGCCGTACAATGACATAGGCAACGAGATAGAATTTAAACTGTCGATGAAATGACAAACATGTGCATGTGCTTGCGGGACAGTTCATGAAACCTGTGCCATCATGTTCGTTGTTGTTGTTGGTCACCTGACACCTCGAGCTCTGCTTAGCTGTAGGCCTGTCCAGCCAAGAGCTCCAGTGACTGGTTCACACACACAGCTCCTCACAAGTGGCAGCCTGAGCACTCCCAGGCCCTTCCTGCCCTCTCCGGCCCCAGAGCGCCCCGGCCCCGGGCCGGGTCATCAGAGCCGGCCTTCAGAGTCCTGGAGAGGTTAGGCTGGCTGTCCTGGGCCGCGGCTCCTGTGGATTTCAGGGCTCCTTGGGTAAATGGACGGAGAGCGCAGAGTGGCGTTCACACGCTCGGTCTCACATCGAGAGGCACACACACCCAGCACCTTCACGGAGACGCCACACACATGGCGACGGACACGCGCACATGCACACATGCACACGGCTCGCGTTCAGGAACCAGGCATCCAGAGCCAGGCTCACCGGTGCTGGCGCCGACTGAGCGTTGGGCCAGGGGCTCGGTATTTGCAACGATGAGCAAAACAGAGGGGATCCCGGCCCTTTCTGTCCAATGGGAGGGAAACAAATAAAACCCAAATGGGTGAAAAAAAAACTCCACCAAATCCATAGTTGTAGATTGTGATAGAGTTCCATTTTTGAAAGTACACCAGACAAGGTACTGTGAAATATATTCCACTCCTAATACCACAATAATTCTGGATAAAAAAATTTTTAATAAACTTTAAAAACGGATAACTGAGCCAGCAAGAAAATAAAGGATATCATTACTCAGAATACAAAACAGCCAAGAGGTGGAAAATAGCAGGAGTCATGAAGGACGGCGTGAGCCAGACTGAAACACATCCTACAGGCAACTCCGAGAAGAAAACAGAGGAATGTAGGAAGGGCAACGTTTGAAGAGATATTTTCTATATCTTTTTACATATATAATATATTCTTATATATTTTATATATGTGTATATTCAATATTCTTCTATAGTTTACATAAAATTATATACAATATATTCTATATATCTCTTCAAATGCAATATTGTGTATGTATTTTTATATACAATATTGCACAATATATACACAATATATATAAACAATTCATGTATAAATCCTATAGGTCCTCACTCCCTGGAGAGCCCTGACTAATGCACCGCTCTCTGTGTGACGTTGAGTCCACAGTCCACTGCGACTGGGCCCCACCTCCCTGACTCCTCAGGACCCCGCCATCCCCACCCCCATGTTCCAGAGCCCTCTGCTTTGTGAGCTCCCCAGAAAGCAGGGCCAAGCCGCCTGCTTCCCCACAGCACCCTGGAGTCCAGCCCAGGGTCCGGCACGGTTCAGGCGTCAGTAAATATTTGTCTGAGAAATAATATATCACGCACTGTCAGTGAGTTAATTTTGAGATGCCCCCCCAATGCAGGGTTGCACCCGACCCTCTTCCCCTTCCTCTGCTTCTCAAAATCCTCCGCTGTCCTCAGGCCCTGAGGCCTCCTCCCCGCGAACCCACACCAGGGCTGGCACCCTGGTCCCAGTCTGGAGCCTGCCATGTAGCATTTGCTCAATGATTATTCGGAAAATCAATGCAGGATAAAAACCATGGCAGGATCGCATTTCGAACATGTTAGCCTGGGATTTTCGTTCCTCCTTGGCTCTTTGTTTTTCAGACAGCAGGCATTTCTGGGCCCAAGCCTCCGCAAAGGATGTGGCTGCTGAATGAGAGAAAAATAGGTCTCTTGACTGGCTTTGCAGATTCCAAAGCTCAGGCCCTGAGAGGACCAGAAAGAAACAGATAAAAGACAAAAAAACTTGGAGAAAATCATGAGGCGTTCCTGCTTGCCTGGCTGGAAAATGATTTTCTGAACATCCAGAAGGAAGAGAGTTGAAAAGGAACCTGATCAGTCTGCGGTGGTTCCCAAAGAAGGTGGCTTTTCCCCTGCTCGCGGCCGTTGCTAGCTCAGAGAGCACCCGTTGCGAGCTGGGAAAAGGCCCCCTTTCCGGGCATGCAGCTTGGCAGCTGGAGCCCAGGCTGGACCCCGCCCTCAGGAGCTCCCTCAGCGGGCCGCACGGAGTGCACAGATCCCACGACCACACGGCAGCCCCGCCCAGCCCTGGAGAGGGTGTGTGGGAAGGCTCAGACAGGCACGCGGGTGTGAAGAGAGGAAGCTAGTGCCTTGCACCCCTATGGGGCAGGGGAGTCCCCAGGAAGAAGTGGCCTTGGGCGGAAGGAGCCTCAGGCAGCCCCAGAATTTCTCAAACTCCTGCTGGGGACCAGGTTGGGTGCAGCATCTCTGAGGATGCACACTGCAGGGGACAGATGACAGCAACAACCAGACTGTCACTTGCCCGTCCACATTTGCCAACAAGTTGGCACACGGAATCCTCTTGGAATGAGCCAAAACCTCAAGGAAATTTGGAACTGGGGAGAAAGGTCAAGGAGCCTGAGATCGAGCACCTGCCACCCAGCCACAACGAGGACACCAAACAAAAATTCAGTTGACTTATATATATATTTTAAAAGTGGCATTCTGTGTACATTGAAGGTATTCATTGAGGGTTTGTATTTTTTTTTTTTTAACTTGCTCTGATCAACAAATATTTGTTGAATGAGTGCTGAACGAATGACAAATGGCTGGTACTTCCCTGCGACCCGACTTTTATTCTGCCCTGATTCAACTAGCACATGGGTCTCCCTGGCTAGACTGTCCATAGTTTGAGGGCAGGGACCAGCTTCCTTGACCTTAAATCCTGCCCACGTACCCTATGCAGAAGCGTTCAGTGCCTGGGCGTTCCATCGAATTCCTACAAATGCGAAGAATATTTTTCCAGGCTCCAAGATCAAAAAGCGCCCCCTCCTGCCCTGCCCTCCCCTCCCACCTTCTCAGATATCATCGAATTCCCAAAGCCCGGTGCAGACGCAGATGGGCAGACGCGAACCCTTTAGTGTTGCCATCTGACGCTGCGGCATGGCTTGGAAAATGAGCCTGTTAGGATTGGAGACACGTCTACATTCGGTGGATGAACTCTGCCCTGTTCAGCGACTGTGAACCTGGGTGTGGTCTGACGTGTGGGGCAGTGAGGTCGGGCTCATTCCAGGGGGCTGAGCCCTGGGGTGGGCATTGGAGGGCAGGGGGCACTTGGGTGCTTATCCTGGGAGCCCCTGGAAATGTATGGGGCCAAGGACTTGGGGCTTCCCAGACCTGGTGCCCTGAGCCTTGGGTGCTGTTCAAGGCCCTCGTGGCTTGGACACCCAGAGGGACCCAGGCCACCGGACCCTTCTCCACAGCCCCTGTCCCGGCCTCCTCCCCAGCCTGCTTCCGGGCGGCCGCGGCCCCATGCCAGTCACGCCACTGTTTTATTCTGGGTCCTTGAAGTAATACTTAGACATCCTGCCCAAGCACTTGGCCTTTGCAGATACGGATTGGTCTCTTGGCTTGTATTTGTAAGTTACTCCCCTGTGTCTGTCCTTTCTCCGTGGCCAGAAGGTCAGCACTTGTCACTGGCTGGCCGCCTAGCTGTCTCCCTAGAGGAAGCCCATCCCCCCCACTCCCGCCTTCCAGGCCACTGTTTGAACCCAGCTCTGCCACTTATAGCTAGTGTCCTTGGCATGTTACTTAGGTTGTTGTGACCACCTGACCATCTCCCCCTGGTTCTGTGCCCCCCACCCTTGGCACAGATCACTCCACATGACAAAGGAAATGTCATGGTGACCTGCCCGCTTTCCCCACCGCCGAGGCCCTCTCTTCCATTCCCAGGGCCCAGCGTTGTTGCCGCCACTGAGCTGTGGCAGCCTAAGGAAGGCAGTTCGCCAAACCGCCCCGCCCCCCGCCGCCCCCCACCCGCCTTCCTACATCTCCTCCCTGCTTCCTCCGCTCCCTCCTCCTCCCCACAAGGCCCTCTGCGTCCTGGATTCCATTGCTGACCTTCCCACCATTTCTCCCCCGAGGTCCCCTTCATTTGTTCGAGGGGATGAAAAGCTCCGGGCAGAGGCTGTGATGTTGCAGAGTCTTTTATTAAAACCAGGTGAGTCACTCCATCAGCTGAGAAGGCACACTTCTGTTCCAGACACCCCACACCTCCCTAGGGCTGGATGTGGCGGTCGGCCACCCCGCCTCCCACCTCCTTCTCACGGCAAAGGGACACTCTGCTGTCTTTAAGGGGCGGGGCGCAGGGCGGGGCGATCAGAGAATTATCGTGGCTGGGGCTTAGTTTGCAGCTTGGATTTGGGGTTAAAGGCGAGGGTACAGGAATGGGTCCGTTTGGAGGTTGGAAGGAATTGGGTTGGGATTTAGGTGAGAGGAGAGTTACGTATGGTCCACAGTCCGCAGGCCACAGTGAGCTGAGGGCAATGCTTCTCCCTGTTCCCAAGGTGAGGACCCTCCACAGGGAGCCCCGCCCAGGCGTGGCAAGCCACCTTGACCGCCCCCTCCCAGCCCCTCCGCCTCTCCCACCACCTCTCATACTCAAAGCAGACACTCAGAAGCAAACTCTACACAGCTATGAGAGATTCAGTCCCCGCCCTCCCCTGCACCTGGGCCCAGGTGGGTGGGGGTGGGAGCTTTGGGGGGCTTAGCCCTGGAACCCCAGCTCCTTGTACTTGGCAGCGATGTCGTTCCGGAAGAGCTCCAGAGCCTTCTTCATGGCTTCCTGGGCATCGGTGCCAAAGTCCCCAGAGTGCTTGTTCTTCAGAACCTGGATGATGGCTTCCGAGATGAACTGCAGGGAGGGGATGAGAGGGGTGCAGGTCACTGGGCCGGCACAAGCCAGCGCCAGGCGGGAGTCAGACCGAGTCCCAGCTTCCCTCTCCTCCAGGGCTGTTTATTGAGCACTTCCTATACACTAGGCGCTGCCGAGTGGTCTCTGTAGATTAACTCCTCTAATTCCCACAACCCAAGAGACAGGGGTGGATGGGGAAACTGAGGCCCACCTCGGCACAGATGAGGGAAAGTGAAGCTGTGTGCCCGAAGCCCCATAGCCAGGTGGGCCAGCTCGCCCACTACCCTCCTCCACTGGCGCTCAGGGTGAGCGCCCCACCGCAGCCTGGCAAGGGCTTGGGCGCCGCCGCCAGGGTCGGAGGGAGGGAGGGCAATGCTCACGGCTGTGATTTTACCCAGCATTGCAATCAGGAAATCTAGAAAGAAATGTCTATTTCTTCCAATGGAGTGTATTTAATTTTTGCATTAATGGCTTAGTGTGGCCTAAGTCATCGCCTTACGTCTATGGGGCTGCAGGTGCAGAGCATTACATTTTCTGTGCCAAGCCCAGGCTTGGGGCTCAAACACATTGCGGGGAGGGCAGGAGACGGGGGAAGGGACCAGGCCTGCGGTGCCCCCCCAGGACGGTAACGTCTCACACTGGGCCCACGATCACTGCTGTCTTTACGTCCATGTGCCATCACCCAGAAAACCTCCAGCCCGGGGCTGCTTTCGGGCTGGTAGGTCTCTGGATAGAAGATGCTCCTGCCCTTTTTCAACAATGAATTAAGATGTGACGCCAGCCGCAGGGGGCCCAGCAGGGTCATTGACAGCGGAGAAGCCCCGACGGAGGTCACGTAGCCAGGGGACGGCAGAGCTGGAGCTGGCACCCAGGGGATGGAGGGCAACTGACGCCCAGAGGCAGGGATGGAGCCAGGGACTGCACTGCGGTTGGGTTTTCCCACTTTCTCAGGGTGCCTGGGGGTGCAAGCGCCCGAAGCAGGGGGTGGGAGGCTGGGAGCTGAAGGAGACTCCAAGGGGCACAGCACCTTGAAAACGCCATCAGCTCAAAAGCCACGAACACCTACCTTTGGGCCTTGATTTGGGGACATAGGCCGAGGTCACCTTTAATGTCACAGATGCAACAAAATGAAGCAGGGGTACGGACGCCGGGGAGCAAGCCCTGCCCTTGGAGAACTTGGGAGACCCGAGTCCCAGGCCCAGCTCTGCCCTGACCCACCCCGCTGTGCGACTTCACCTGTAAAATGGGAGCTTCAGTGAGGCCCCCGGCCGTCCCCCCAACCCAGCCTTTCCTGAGTCTGTGGCAGAGCCACTAATGTCTAGGAAATTGGGGGATGGGGCGGCTGGACAAATGAGAAAAGACAGCCGCCCTCGGCACCCAGCACCCTCAGCACCCCTCGCTGCCCGGTGAGGAGAGAGTCCTTACGAAGAGCGCAGAAGGAGGTGCCTCAGTGAGGGGGAGCCTTTCGGGGGGCTCTGTCTTGACTGTCTGCAGTAAGGGACACGTGTTCCCCTCGGCCCGGGCTCGAGTCTTCTCGCCGGTGGTGCTAACCTGGCTACGTGGTTTTCCGTCTCAGCCTCAGTTTCCTCCTGCCTAGTGAGATGAGCTGTCATCCCAGGCGTAGTGTGAGCTCACCCTACGTCTCCGGGGTTCAGCAGTAGGGGAGAGCCAGGGACTGCCCTTGAGGAGCGCAGTCCCAGCCAGAAGACAGCTGGGTAAAGAAATAAATTACAGCGCAGCCGGGCAGGCGCCGTGGCAGGATGAGGATCAGGATCGAGTGCCTTTGCTGGGGGGAGGGTTGGCGGGGGTGGGAGCAGCTGACTGCCTCCTGCAGAGGAGGTGGCTTCCGAGCTGAGCCTTGGGCAATGGGCAGGGGTTTGCCAAGGGAAGATGAGGAGGGCAGGGGCTGCAGGAAGCGCAGATCTCAACGGCAGGACTGGCTCCTCACGTCTGCGATGCTGAGTGGGTCGAGCAGGCAGGGTTGTGCGTGACTGGGTGGGGGGGTGGTCAGCAGGAGTTCAGGGAGGAGAGGCTGAAGAGGGTGGCGGTGCTGATCGTTAAGGGGGGATATTGTGTCACAGGGGTTCGGAGCTTGAGCTCCAGAGTACCACAGACCAAACTCTACCCCCTGGCTCCTTAGCTGTGTGGCTTTGGGCAAGCTGCTTAACCTTGTTGAGACCTCAGTTTCCAAATCTGTAAAATGGGGACTAAAAAGGTACCTGCTTGGGGCAGAGACTGCTGATTGCCTGCCTAACATCCATTTTTTCTGTATTCCCTGGTCACAGAACGCTAATTGTATTTGGAATGGCAATAGATCACATTTCCCAGCTTCCCATGCAGATAGGCATGGTCTTTTAACTACTGGACAATGAGGTGTATTCAAAATCATGGGATAAGATTTCTGGGACTCCTTAAACTCCTTAAAAGAGAGCTTTCCTCTCTTCCTTGTGTTTCCTCTTTGGACTATGGACTAGATGGCTGGAGCTCTAGCAGCCGTCTTGGACTCTGAGTCAACTTTGGAAGGTAGAACAGAAAGACTCTATATCCCCAGGGCTCCCATACCAACTCTGGACTCCCTACCTTTGAACTCCTTTTGGGTCAGAGGAAAAGAAGACACTGAATGCAACCCCTTCCCTCTTGGGGTAATTGTGAGTATTCCATGCAGTGACCAGGGCACCGTCCATCACCCTCATCCTTATCCTCATTGCTGCCCCAGCCTGCCTGCTGCTGCCCCGCCCAGAGAGTGCACCCATGCCTGTGTCCCCAAGCTCCCTAGTGCTCCCTGTCACCACATCCCCTCCTCCCCTAGGGCGCCTGAGGCTCTGTCCCTTCATCTGTAAATACGCTGGAACCAATAAGGCCAGAACTGAGCCCCGGCAGCTGCGCTCTTGCCACAGGAGTCCTGCGTGGCACAGGGGTTAGAAGCTGGCATTCTGCAGGAATACAGACGTTGCGTGAATCCTGGCCCTGCCATTTGCTACCTCTGTGACCATACACAAACTACTTAACTTCTCTGTGCCTCGGTTTCCTTGTCTGTCGAGTGGATATGATAAGAGGAACTACCTGTGGAAAGAATGCAAGTTGTGCACCCTATATCCACTCTCCCCTTCTTCCTTGGTAACTACATGCTGATTTGGGAGAGGAATGTATATCTAATCTCAATGACCCCAGGAGGGAGGTAAAGCCCACTTCACAGATGAGGAGACTGAAGCACAAAGAGCAGTGACCTAGGGCACCCAGGAAGTCAGTGGCTGAGCTGGGACTTGAGCCTGAATCTCCTCCCTCTGCGGCCCCTCCTTCCTTCCTCCCGCGGGCCCCTGGCCCTGTGGCCCACCTCCAGGTACTTGACGGGGATCTTGTGCTTGGTGGCATGTGACTGGGCCAGGGGCTTCAGCTCTGCCTCGTGCTGCCCCTTCTTCTTGAGGATGCCCCCCAGGGCAGTGAGCACAGTGGCACCGTGCTTCTTCAGGTCCTCAGAGGCCTTCATCTCGTCCTCTGACTTCAGGTTCTTGAACTTCTCGAACTTGTCCAGGGTCTCAGGGTGACTCGTGAAGAGGCTGCGGGCACAGGGAGGGCTGAGGTCAGACATGGCAATGCGCAGCGGGGTCTGGAGGTGGCCAGGCTGGAGCTCAGACCCAGACTCCCTCCCTTCCCCCCGCTGTGTGACCTTGGGCCGTTCACGTCACCTCTCTGAGCCTGTGCTTCCTCGTCCGAGGGACGGGGGTTACTAGTCCCTGCCTATGGAAGTGCTGGGAGGAGTAAGCGAGATCATACATGCTGAGTGCCACGCAATGTGTGGCATAAATGCTTGCTATTATTTTTAATTACTATTTTTTTTAATTAAATGTATTAGGGTAACATTGGTTAAGAAGATCGTATAGATGTCAGGTCTATTTTTATCATCGCCCTCTTCTTCATTGTTATTGTGAGAGGAAGGAAGGGAAGGCATCGCCGCATTGCACCCTGGCTTCACCTTAATTTTCTCTAAGTTGTTTGGAAAGTAGATGTCAGAGTAGCATTGAGAGAGGAGCAGAGGCGGGGGCCAAAGGACCCTGGATTTTTTGAGCGCCTGTGCTAGGCTCTGCATTTGACTTAGGGTCATATTACCCACGTCACAGATGAGGGGCCAGCAGCTCGGGGTGAGAAGTCCTTGTTCAATATTACAGGGCTGGTGTGCAGAGGAACCAGCCTGAAATCACATCTGGGTGACTCAAAATGCAGTCCATGCCGAGGACCACCTCGGCAGCCTCCTGCCTAGGGATCGTCATTGGGCTGCTTACATACTCCCAGCTACGGGAGGCTCCTTACCTGCCGTGAGAGCCGTTCCACGGCCTAGCAGCTCTCAGGCTTAGAAAGCTCTTGCTTATTTTGAGGCCCAGCTTTGATTCCCTGCACCTCCCATGCCCCTCACACTACAGAGGGTGAGGGGCCTTGGTGGGAGCTGCCTGCCTAAGACCAGGCCCTCGCTCCTGCCAGGGACCCCGTGAGCTGGCCACAGAGGGGTTCTGCTCGTGACCCTGAGCCGGCACCTCCAGCCTTGGACCTCAGTCTTTCCTGCTGTCAAGAGGCTGGTGTTGGCTAAAGGGCATCATCGCTGGCCCTGGGTGCAGGGGAATGTCCCCTGTTTCACTGATGGGCCAACAGAAGGCCCCAGCGGCAGGTGACTAGCCCAGGGTCACATGGACAGACGGTGGCAGAGCCCAGACCCGAACCCAATGGTGGACATTTCCATTACTCACTCCCCCTCCCTGGGTTGCACCCTGGATGTTTGTAGGAGCAATCCTGTCTGCCCAGGCTCTATCCCCTCCTGCCTCATGGCTTCAGTTCCTTGAAAAGTTCCTCTTTTGTAGCTTCCTGGCTCTGTGACACCCTTCAGCTTGACTGTGGACTCCCTCCAGTGGGCACACGTACTTCCAGCATACACCGGTACCCACATGCATGCCCGCACAGACAGGCATCACGTAGCGCGGACGGGGAGCACCGCCCCCCCCGGGAGCTATTCTTCCCTGCCCCCCCGCCCTGTCTTTCCCAGAAAGCTCAGGGCTGTCCACGGCTGTGGCCAATGTCATCACCTCACCCCGGGGCCCAGGCCAAGCCTTGTGTGTCACTGACAGCTCATCTCTGGCACCTTTCACCCAAGGGTCCTTACATAGCTCCTGGCTATTATTATCTGGCTACAACGATCCTGGAACGCCTGCCTGACAGAAGCGACACCGAGCACCCGCAGGCAGAGGCCTGACACCAGGACATTGGAAGGGGACTGTCTGGGGCTGGATGGGGCCGAGGGCCTGGGACCCAAAGGGGCCAGAGTTCTCCGACATTTTGGGAGTCTCCCAGATGTCCCGGAGAAAGGACATGGGACTGAGAATTACAGAAGCTGAATTCTGTCCCCAGCCCTGTCTTCAACATGCTGTGTGACTTTAAAGGAGCCGCTCAACCTCTCTTAGTGCACCCATCTGTAAAGCACAAGGCTTGGTCCAGCCGATTTCTCAGCCAACAAATACTAACTCCTGCCCCCAACACCACCCTCTACTCAAGCACCAGTCAGCCACAGAGGGAGCCCAGGTTTATGTCAAAGTTAGTTCGCCTGAGTAGGGCCCACCAGAACATTCGGGCACCACACAGCCGCCTCCCTCCCTTGGCCTTAAGTCCTGCAGCTGAGGGTCCCCAGGGCAGCCACAGAGGGCCACACCCAGACTCATCGGATAGCAGCAACCTCCAAAATGAGCCGACGAAGCCCCTACCCTGTGGAAATGGGTGGGGATGATTTTCCGAGTGTTTTAGAAATGTCCCCTCGCCTGTTGTTTTCATTTTCAACTCTGTCATCAACCTGCCTTGTTGATCACAGACCCGCAGGCAGGTCAGAGAGAAAGGAGGGCAGTTCCCAGCTGTCCACTGAACTGTCCCCAATTAGACTCCCGCACAGAAGTCGGAGGTCTCTCTCAGACCTGCAGAACTCCCTCTGTGCTCTGGAACCGAAGAGCCAGGTGGGGATGGGAACTCATCACTAACGTGCCAAGACCGTGGACGAATACAGCACAGCGGCTGACAGCAGATATGCTAAAGCCAAGCTGCTCGGACTCGAATTCCAGCTGTGTGACTTTGGGCAAGTTACTTAGCCTCTCTGTTAAAGGTGACAGTAAAAATAGTACATACCTCATAAAGTTGTGAGGCTTAAGTGAGTTAATATGTGTGACGTGCTGAACACAGGGCCTGGCAAGCAGTGAGTCCTGTTGAAATATTTGCTGTCCCCTCCTCCTTGTCATCATCTCTACCCCCAGCACCTCCTCCATCCTCAACACCATCATCATTCTCCTCCTCGCCTTCATCATTACCGCCATCATCCCCATCACCACCTCCATCACCGCAGCAGGGTCATTGTTAGGGCCAGGAATTTGTGGTTCTGCCTGTGGCCCCCATGGGCTGTCTCGGACTCTTGGGCCATGTTTCCTCTCTGCTAGAAGAGTTAATGACCACCAACAGTGATTCTCAAATTTTTCATGACCTTGAAGTCCTTTGCTCAAATGCAAAAAGGAATAAAGCAGGAAAAGTTTGGGCAAGAGAAGGAAAGGCAGGGGGGGGCCTTTCCTGAACCCCTACTCCTGGAACCAGATTCTTCAAATGTCCTTCCAGCTTCTGCGTTCTAGAACTTTATCATCAGCCCTGAGCATTTAATAACAAACTCAGCTGAACTGCAGCGTGCTCTTTGACGATCAGAGGGGTGGGAGGAATGGCCCTTCCAGGTTCAGTATCTGGAGCAGAACCAAGAGGCCAGGTCATAAGCGGGCATTGGCAGGCCTGGGAGTTAGCCGTCTCTCCCCACCCCCTCCCCTCACCCCAAACACTGAGAAGGCAGAGCCAGTTGTCATGGTCTCCACATGTCCTGCAGCCTAAGATGTGATAGGGCATCAGGCCCTCTGGAGCCTTAAGGGGCCACCAGCCTTAGACGTGACATCTTGTCCCTGGCACCTGGCCCATGGCACAGGACTCTCTGATCCACCCTGGGAAGAGAGAAAAGGTTTCCCCTGATGACACACTCCCCCGAGTCTTCTTCAAGACATGCAGTCCCTGTCTCAGGGCTGGCAGCCCCAGGTCACCTTGGAAAGACTCCTGCTCTGCAGGCTGGCCTCCCCCCGCCGGCTGCCCTGTGCCCCCTCCGGTAGCAGGGGGACCAGGGACATGGGGAATGCCAGGGCACGCGGGCGGGACGGGTCTCAGAGACCACGGCAGAAAACCCCTTCACTCAAGCCACAGGGAAATAGGACCCAGAAAGGGCGGGAGACTTGTCCAAGGCCACACAGCAGGTGGCTGAAGGGGGTCACCAATGTCGATGTCAGCTTGGTGGGGGGAGCCTTTTGTCCAATCAGAGAGAAACTGTTGCAGCCTCAGCAGCCAGATGACAGAGACAGGGGGAGAAGGACATACGAAAAAATCCTAAGGTGAGGCAGCAGAGAACTTCCTTGACTGTGCTTCCTCCAGTGATTCTAGTGTGGGCTGCCAAGGGCTCGAACTTCAGGGAGCGGAGCTTCCAGGACTGGCCATTCTCCCCAGGCATGGGAGCTGGAAATGCATGAAGCCCAGGGGAGACTAAAAGGGCACCCTGGTGGAGAGAAAAACCTGCCCTGGCTCAGAGAGAAGGAGAAATTCATCTGTAAATTAAATTGTGAAGGGCAATCCATTCACTCATGGCAACCCCGTGGCAACCCCATTGCCCCTTCTTCCCGGTGCAGAAATGCTGATTTACACCACAGTACGTATTTGACCTGGGCTGTCCCAGAGCATGAGCCAAGGCGCCGGGCAAAGAGGAGAGCTGACCACCATTGGGGGTGCAGGGCAATGGAAGATGAGATTCTATTTACAGGCCACAAGCCGTGCTCTATATACAAAACTTGGACATTTTTTCCCCTTTGGTTTATTCTGGAATCCCTTGCTGTAGAAGGTAAGACATGTTTGGAGACCACATCGGTCTGAGCTCTAAGATTGAAGACATACTCAAGGTCATCTGTTTTCTAATTATAATACTTTAAAGGTCTGTGGGCTGGACTGCATCTATAACGGTTATCAACGTCTTTTAGAACTTTATATGCCAGGAAATGTGCTGAGCCCCTAACATGACTCACCCTATTTAATTCTCACTTCTACTCTATCATGCGGATATTAGCATTTCTCCCACTGCACAGGGGAAGAAATCAAGGCTCAGAGAGGCCGTGTAGCTTCCCGTAGCTCACACAGTTGCTCAGTAGCAAAGCCAGGTCGAGAGCTACACGTCTCATCTGGAAGGCCAGCTCTTAGCCTTGATACTTTATAGACTTTAATGAACTTGTGACTCTGGGGGGACATCTGTCTCCTCACGTCCTCTTTCATCCTCATCCAATAAGTGAGGCAGCTGGAGAAGACCACTCAGGGCTGTGGTTAACTCTGACTGTCTATAATTCCTCTTCGTGGGCTCTAGGCATTCAGGTTTGAGCATCAAACATCTCACAGGTATGAGATGCATCTCCTTTCCTTTTCTGATTCTAACCCCTGACACTTAAGAACAAAGGAGAACAAAACGGGGATTTTCACAAACGCAATAACACAGCCAACTGGTCAACCCCAGGACAAAGTTCCATCTTGCTGTCAAACACCCTCGATCTCTGGGAGGCAGGTCATAGGACAATACAATCTCTTCCTTTTACCTGATGAGGACTGCTTGCCCATGGCCTGGGATGTCAGCCTCCACCTTCCCCCAGATAGTCAGCACGGACTGCCATTCCCCGTCGCTGAGCCCCATGGCGTCGTCTGAAGAAGACAGAAAGAGCAGGTGCAGGCTGACCGAGTGTCCTGGCCCTGACAGCTGGGATTTGAGGCCGCCTGGCCCCAAAGGGCTTTTATACCTTCCCTGGTGCTTGACACAGATCACTTGACAGCTTGCTCACTGCTGCCCCCCTCCCCTCCCCCGCCTTCTTGCAGGGGTCTAATCTTTTCCTTTCTCTAGCCCTCACATGGAAGCTATTTTGGGGCAGGTGCCATTGTGGGGAGGTAGGACAACTCAGGCCACATGGCAGAGGGGGTGGTTGTGTGTGTGGAAAGAGTGGGGAGGAGGTTGGGCCACTGTCTGGACTCTCAACGGCCAACAGAAAGGGCACCACCAAGGCGGATGCCAGCAGCCTGAAACCCAACTCTCCCTGCCGTCAGCCGCCCTGAGAGGAACTGTCATGTTTCTAAGCTTGGGCAGCGGGGGCCCGGGCTGGCCCTGGGGCAGGCCTGGCCCCTATGGGTCTCCTTGTCCACATTCTTCCCACTTTGCCAGAATGCCTCTCACCCAGCTGGAGTGGTAGGAAGGAGCCTAGGTGGTTTTGTGCTTATTCCTGGCAAACCCAGGCAAATCCATAACCTCTTGGAGTCTGAATTTCTCTTGCTCCACCCAGAAAACTGGCATCCTGGCCTTATTCAAATACTTCCCGCTGAAAAGTCTTGCTTGACATACTCCCTCAAGGCACCTCTGTGTATCTTCTGTGGTCCTTTTGTATTGCTCACCTCCCTGCTTCACATTTCTTTGTCTCCATGTGGGCTCCTCCATTAGTACTCAGATATTGTGCTGGGTGCCAGAGCCTATCCAAGCACTTTACTCTCGGTAACTCATCATGCTGGATACTGGCACTATCCCCATTAAACTGAGGGGAAGTTAGAGAAACTTGCCATGGTCACACAGAGACTCAATGGAGCTAGAATTTGAACCCCTGAGTACCTTACTTTGTTGTTCAAGTGAGCAAGGGCTCTGTTTTCTTCATCTGTGTATCTCTTGGACCTCACGCAATGTCTCATACAAGGTTTGAGTTGAATAAATGTTCATTGAATAAAAAGACGGATGGCCTTGCAAGGAACGCAAGTAAAGATGACTGGCCTTCTATAAATCCATCCGTCATCATCCATCATCCATCCATCCATGATCCATCCGCCCACCTAATCACCCACCCATTCATTCATCCATCCATCATCCGTCGCCTCTCCACCGACCGTCCAATTCATTTACCCATCCTTCATCTGCCCATCCACTCATCAGTCACCGGCTCCTTATTGTGTGTCAGAAACTGCTCTCCATGTGGAGGGTGACAAAGTCAAATAAAACACACCTCTATGTTCAAGAAACTCTAGTCTCCTTGGGGAGATAAGGAAGAATAAAATTACAGCATAGTTCATCTAGTGCTACGATCAAGATATACACAAGCCCTTTCTCCCATGTACATGGGCTTTTACAGTTTCCTGCTTGGGCAGGATTACATCGAATCTTCACCACGGCCCTGTGAGGTAGTGAGCATCACCCTGTTCTACAGCTGTGGACTATGAGGCTCAGAAAGAATAAGGAAGCATGCTGACTGCCCTGGGCCAGTACTAGGCATGTCTGTTATGCCTACCCTACATATATAGCTCTTTCTAAAAGTAACTGTCCTGCCCCAGGCCCTGCTGAGGGGCAGGTGTAGCGGTCATGTTCTCCCCGCAACTTACTGCCTGACTCAGCTGATTGGACCAGATTTGGCACCCGGCCTGAGGCCGCCAGGTCAGGGCTCTGTCCCACAGCCAATGTCTATTAGCTACGTCAATCGGATCCCCTCTTCAAAATGTGAACAGGGACATTGGGGAAGAATTGACTAAGCAGTAGGAAAGGCAGAGTGAAAAAGTCAGTTTCATGACCAGCACTGAGTTAAGAGCCCCTCCCTGCAGCCTTGGTCTGGAATGCCGTCCGTGTTGACCTGTCACCTCCATGCCGGGCCCAATTACCATCTGAGGATTGCTGTGAGCTCCCACATGTGATGTGGCCCCCCACCCCCACCCTGTGTAGCCTTTCAATGAACCCTACTTATTTATTGAATCAGCTGGTTCCTATGACCAAAACGGTCAGGCGCTCGTCCCTGAGAGTGTGCTCGGGAGACACACGTGCGTCTTAGCCCAGGACGCCGAGCCAGTCGACCTCCAGGAGCTCTCCAGCTTCACCAGTGGAAGATGCAGTAGCAAAACGAGTAGGTAAAAATGCCATGGGATTTTCCGGGGAGTGACCACTCATTCATTCGTTTGTTCGTTCGTTTGCTCATTCATTCATTCAACAGCCTGGAACTGATGGCCCACTCTGTGCCAGGCCCAGGACCAAAAGGAAAGGCGGCTCTGAAGGGGTCTGCTCAGACCCTCAGCAGCTTCAGCCACCACTTCTGGTCACTTGCTGGAGGGTGAGCCCAGCAGTGCGGCAGGGCAGGACAGGCCAGGGCTGATTACTATCCCACCTGGCTGTCAGGGAACAAAGACTTGGAGGTTGGTAAGCGGCAGAGCTGAAGACCAAACTTGAATCTACAGCTTTCCTCCCATCTCCAGCCCCTGAGCTGTCTGGGGACAGCCTGGGTATTTAAAATCTCATCAACTCATTACCAATGCTAAAGTGTTTAATATGAAGCTGTCACCCCTTGGCAGGCACCCGCATTAACTGGCACACTCATGGAAACCTGTGGCTTTGAAGTTGATGAACCTTTTAAGTTTTACCATTTAAGCTAATAGGCAGGAACCGACATCTGTTTGTACTTACACATCTCTACAACAGAACAGGCGTTACCTAATGGTTGCTATGGCTACCTGGAGTCGCCAGTTCTGTTTGGGGGCTATAATTATCCCTGTGACAGACTTCAAGTGGCTAGAACAGGGGAGCTGGAGGCGCATGGAACAGGAAAGCCACGCTGCCTTTGCACTCGACCGTCTGCAGCCTTGCACGCTCATGTCACACGCGCACACAGAGGAGGGTTAGTTTGACACCCAGTGGGGCAAAATGGATCCCACCAGCTCAGGCCTATCGCTTCTCTTTTTCTGTTTCATATCACAGACTCCTTTGAATGTGAAAATCTGAGAATTGTAGAACCATCCTTAAGTCTGCAAATTCTGGAGTCTCGAGACCCTAGAATTAGAATTCTAGGGTGCCAAAGTCTTCGACTTTCACCACTCTGGATACTTGGGTTCTAGATTCCAGGATCATAGAAAGGTAGAGATAGAGCAGTCTAGAATTACAGGGCCATAGTATGCTGAAGCTTCTGGGGGCCTTCCATGGTATTTTGTTCAAGTTCCCATTAATGGCAGCGATTCTTCCTACACATCATCATCAAGCGGCTGCTTGAATACTCCCAGGAGCTGTGAGCTCACTACCTAAAGCTTTAGCCTCGTCTTTATATTGAACTAAAATAGGCCCTCTTGTCACGCTTACTTGCTCGTCCTGGCTCTGCTGGGTCCTTGGGGATGCAGAGGGCCAGCAGGGCCTCTCGCACTAGGGAAGCTGCAGGTTCACCTATGTCTTTCCTGGTCCTGGCTAAACACACCCCAGGACTTCAACGGAGCACCCTCCCCCGGCAAAGTGTGCTCTTCAGTGTCTGCTGACTCTCACCTCTCATCACAAACATACATAGAGAGAACTTCCTAGCAAGGGGCTTCCAGCACCCACCACCCAGGTTTGAGTCCCCGGGGGGCTGTGCACCAGGCCTCTCTGTTTCAAGGGACACAATCCAGCCCAGGTGGCTTGGAAACGGCTAGCCCTTGGCCTCCGGCAACTCCCCGCACTGACTCGAGGGAACTGCGCTTTAAGATAATACCGAGGGAACCAACGATGGAAAGAATGAGAACACTTTGGCTCTCCAAAGCCAGAGGTCCCCTCAACCTTGACCGCTTCCCTTCCTCCTCCTCCCGGGAGCGTCCCCTTCGGGGGCGGCCCGGACAGTGCCTCCCTCCCGCCCAGCTCTGCTTGCTCCTTCCTGGCAGGGTCTGCCCTCCTGGACCAGCGCCAGGCCGGACTCAGGGCTGGGCTGGGCCTGGAGCCTGCAGCACCCGCCTGAGGCCCTCGTGGGGCGGCGGGACCCCCCAGCTTGCCCCAGACCCCACTCGGGCCCACCCCCCTCCCCCCAGCCCCTGGCAGGCACCGTACTGACCAGGTCTCCCCTTCTCCCCAGCTGTCCTCCTGAGCCTCCCGCCAGGCAGCGGGGCTGGGGGTGGGGAGAGGTGTCTTATAGCAGCCGGGAGAGGCACAGGGAACTAAAAATACAGTTCCACGGCAAGACTCCTCCTCTCCCTGGAGGCCCAAAGGGGCTTATTGGAGGGGGGCTGGCGGGGACACAGGATCCCAAAATTCCCGTCAACAGGTGTAGCCTGAAGACACTACCTCCCTCCCCCTTCCCTTTCCTCCCAGCCTCCAATGGCTCCTCCAGCCCCACCTTGCACCTGTCACCTGGATGGAGCCCAGCCCCACCTCCACTGCACCTCCATGTCCTCTCTCCCTCCCTTCCTGGCCCATTCCAGCTCCCCTTCCGGGAATCTTCCCCCGCCCCCAACTCCACCCCCTTCCCAGCAGGTGTGTCCTCTCCCCCTCTGGGCTCCAACACAGGTGCAGCCTTCTCACCTCTCTCTGCTTTGGGGTGCGGCTCCCCAGTTTGTGACAGCTTCTGTGAGCTTCCTCAGGAGCAGAAATGGAAAAGCCACAGACATCCACTGCACTTACTGTCCTTCCCAGCAGCCCTTTTGATGGACATGTTTATAAACCTCATTGAACACGCGAGGAGACTGAGGCACAGAGAGGTTAAGTAACTTACCCGATGTCATACAGCTAGGAAATGCCACACATGAAATTCAAACCCAGGCAGAATTTGCACTTCACAACTAAACTCGTCTAACTTTTGGATCCTCCCTCTTCCCCCTCTCACCTTTACGATAGCACCCAGCAAAGGGCCAGGTCAGGAAGCTCCTTCAGTGTTACTGTACTGAACTAAGTGGTCCAGGGTCTTGGTTTCGGGGGCGGGGGTTGGGGGGGAGGTAAAGGCAAAGGCAATTGGAAGGCTGGCAGACGGGAGGCCCTGCTGCCATCTAGTGGCAGCAATGAGAAAAGCTTCTACGTCTGGCTCCGCCCCTTCCACGCTCCTTTGCTCGCGGGCCCACCCTCCCAGCCAGCCAGGTAAGGGGGTCGTTTTCATCTGTATATTCAGGCATTGACCAGAGACTATTTTCCAAATTGTTAAAAAATGAACAAGCCATGGTCCTTGCTCTCAAGGGACTCAAAGTCGAGTGGAGGAAACATCCCAAAGCCATTGGGAACACAACAAAGGTTTGAGCAAAGGACTGTGGGAGGGTGAGCACACCGCCAAGGTCTATGGAGAGAAGACCTGTTGGCAGAGGTAACAATCCGCTGGATCCAAAAGTACGGGGGAGCGTTCTGCAGGGTCTTCTGAGCAGAGATAACGAACGGTGTGCGCGAAAGCCCGATGGATGCAGGGGACACGTGGCGACAAGTGTACTATGGGAGGTGAGACCTCCCGGGAAGGTCCTCTGGGCCAGAACCAGTTCCAGGCTCTGCGCTGGGCCCTGGGGGACCCCGGGGAACACTACGCAGTCCCTGAGCTTTAGAGGTGGCAAGAGGGGGGATGTCTAAACAGATGCTGGCAGCACTTTGTGTCAGGACAGTGGCACAAGCAGTTAAGGATAGGGTTCAAGGCTTTGGAACCAGACACTTGGATTAGATGCTTGGCTCACCACGTACTATTTTTGAGATCCAGGGAAAGTATTATAACTTCCCAGGGCTTTTGTCTTTCTATCTGTAAGATGGCCGCTTTGGAAATAATTACCTATCTCAGATGTGGTCCTGAGGATTAAAAGAGGAGGTGCATGTGCAGGACTCAGTGTGGTGTCTTGTACACAGTGGGTGCTCAGTAATTGCTCACTGTGATAGAAGGTACAAAGGAATCATAAAGGAAGAAATGATTGATTCCACCAAGGAACATGTAACAGAGGAGGCAGTGCCTGAATAGGAATTTGAAGCATCAGTAAGGGTTTGCTAGTAAGGGTTTGCTAGGAACAAAGTGAGCAGACAATATTCCAAGCACAAGGACCAAAACTTTTAAGGGTGTGGAAGCTAGTGTGATAGGACTAGGTTTGGTTGTGTGTGACAGAAAATCCAAATGACATGGCTTCCACAGGAGACTATTTCTCTTCCATATAGAAGTCCAGATGTAGCGGTCCGGGGCTGGTCTGGTACACAACAATGTCAGGGACCCAGCCTTAGTCTGCTTTAGTGCCTGCCATGTTACACACATGGCCTTCAGCTCTTGACCCAAGACAGCTGCTTGAGCGCCAGCCATCATGTCATTCTTCCGACCAGCATGAAGGCGAAGAGAGTGAAGAAGGTTGTGCCCTCTATTTTTCGGGACGCTTCAGGCAGTTGTAATCAATACGTCCTTTCACTGCGCATCACGTGACCACACCTCTTTCCAAGGGTGGCTGGGAAATGTGGTGTTTATTATCAGATGGCCATATCCCCAGATAAAAACTGGGAGTTCTAAATAAAACAAAACAAAAACAAACTCATAGGTACAGACAACAGATTGGTGGTTACAAGAGGGGAAGGAGGTGAGGGGAGGGGAAAATGGATGAAGTGTGTCAAATATATGGTGACGGAGGGAAACGAGACTTTTGGTGGTGAGTGCCCTATAATGTATACAGATATCAAATTAAAATGTTGTGTACCTGAAACTTGTCTAATGTTATTAATGAATGTTACCTCAATAAAAATAAATAAATTCAAAAAAATATAAATTAAAACTGAAACGAGATGGACATTTCTTTACTGAGAAAGAAGGGAAGACAGTAGAGCGGATGTAAACGAGAAATTTCAGGCACTGGAGTTGTGAAGAGCGTGACCTGTGCCGGGAGATGCAAGTATTTCGGTGCTTCTGTGGTGGAAACAGTGACGGAGGGAGCAATGGAAGGTGCGGCCAGAGAAGTAAACTGAGGCCACCGCGCAGGGTGGCGGGGGCACCGCGGGAGTTAAGGTGTGCCCCGGGACCCACGGAGGGCCTTCAAGCAGGGCCGGGCCGCGGCCTGGTTTGCTGTCCCAGAACCACCGCACTAGGTGCGGACAGGAATGTGAAACGGAGGGGACACGTCTGGAGGTGGGAGACACTCCTGCCTGACAGTTTATTATTCACGTTTTCACACAAGCAGCAATGTTGGAAGTTGCACAGTGAACGCCGTATACCCCCCACCCCTTAAACTCTACCGCTGACGTTTTACTGGTGTTACCACATTGCTACCCATCCCCCACGCAACCATCAGTGTTTCTCATTTCTGTGGTTTTTCACAGGAAATTGTAGACTCTGACCGGTTCCCCCTAAATACTTAGCGTGTGTTTTTTATTTAGGTGTCAAATTTCCATCTGATGCAATGCATGTGTCTGAAGCGTACATTTGCTGCACCTTGACAAATCCATGCGCCTGTGTAAGCCAAACCTGCTATCAGGACATAGAACATTATTGCCACTCTCAAAAGTTCCCACATGTCCCTTCTGGCTCAATCCCCACCCACTCTCACCACCTCTCAGAGGCAACCTCTGCCCAGGTGTTTTGTTCCATTTGAGGAAGGGAGGCCACGAAGAGCCTGCTGGGGCGTTCACATCTGGGGCGGAGGCAGGGCAGAGGGAGAGGAGGAGGAGGGAGGGCTCTGCAGGGAGGCTGGGAGAGGGGAGAGAGAGAGTCCCGGGTGAGCGATGGCGGTGCCATTTCCCAAGGCGGGAGGGGACAAGTCTCTCTTGGGATGGAAGCATCTGGAGTGTGTGCAGGACATCCGTCTAGCAGACGCAAGGATACACATGTATCTTAGAGGCTTGTATTGTCCTCTGGCAAGGCGGCCCAGGGAAGTGGGGGCGTTTCTCTAGCTTTGACATCCTCCCTGGCGCCAACCCTAGTGTTCACAGGGCTCCTGCCACCCGCAGAAGGGCCCTTCTTCCGCTGTCCCAAGAAAGGCCATGCCCCTGCTTTCCCCAAGGCAACTGTGTGGGCGCTTAGATGGCGCGGGGCGAGGGCACTTCTGGTGGGCAGGGCACAGAGAGGAGCCCCCATTCCTAGGGGGAGTAGGGAGGGCAGCGCCCACCTAGCGCCCCCACCCTGTCCCCCTCGCCTTGCATCTTCTCTCCCAGCATCTACAGCTGTGTACCCTTCTCTGTCCCTACACCACCATCCCTTTCCTCCCTCCAAGGTCTTGGCTGCTGAAAGCCCCTCCAGGGAGGAGGCTGGCAGCTCTGCCCCCCAGGAGACCATGGGAGCAGAGGCGCAAAGGGACCCAGGGGCCCACAGCCAGGCTGCGGCTGGGCTTCCTCTCATCTGCCTCAGATCACCACAGCACAGAGGAATTTCTTCCTCAAAACCCATCTGGTCCACAGGAGAGACTCCCAGTCTCTCCATTAGTGGGACTTGGAGTTACTCCTTGGAAATGAACGTGCTGACCTGATTCTGCCAAGAGAGGATGGCCTGCACACAGGGTGGAGGCACAGAGCACCCTGGGTTTTCCTGGCAATTTGGAGAAGCCTCCCTTTACCCCATTCGCACAGGGCCAGAGACTGGGTTAGTGGGGAGGAAGTAGCAGAGGTCACCTAGGAGGCAATGTCAAGAAAAAGAGAAGGACCTTGGAGACTGCCTCACATTGAGAACGGGGAAGGGGAAGAGGAGATGGAGAGAGAAACCCCTGAGGACCTGGGGAACCCCGAGGCACCATCTGGAGCACAGTGAGAGGGGGAAGTCCCCAGATACCATTAGGAGCGCACTGACAGTCCAGCTGGCCTTTGGAGGCTGGGGGAGAGGGAGCCAAACAGAAAGTGAGGATGAATATTAAAGACTCCTGCCTGTGTTCTAGGCGTGGGTGAGGGCTGAAGCGCAAACAAATACGTGAGTCAAGCACTAGCTGCTGTGACAAACAATCTCCCAAGTCTTGAGGGGCTTATTCGTTCTTAACAGTGGCTTCAGAGGTTTGGTTCTCATTTACCTCACAGTCCAACGTAAGCTGGGGGCAGGGCTCTGCTCTGCACAGGGATTCAAGGACCCAGCTCCGTCCCCAAGGACTTCAAAGGCCTTGGGCCCCTCTGTACCCAGCAGACAAACAAGAGGAGAGAGAAATGGGTGTGGATAAAATGTTTTATAATCTCTCTGGCAGGTG